ACTCCTTCTAATACGGCATTAACCATTTAAGTGATCTCTTCACGCCCCGTCATTAACCCCTGACTAATCCTCTTGTGGGCTCCCTAAAATTCCACAGCGGCGTCATCTGAGGTTTAAAGACTCCCGCTGCAAATGATCTACAACGATTTAGGCAGAGTGCTATCAAGACGATAAGGAAATAAAGCCCAAGCGAATTGAAAGATTTTTATCGTATTTTTTCTTAATGATAAAATGGTGGTCGTGGGAAGCCGGATGGCTAATGCAATAAATTTTGAGAACATATTTATCAATTATTAATTGCAAAGTGGAAAACTGCTTTACTGACTTGATTACACCTTTCGCCCTCGGTAGATAGGCTTTCTCAGGTCAGAAGGAAAGAAATATATATGTATGTGCTTGTATGTATACTTCAATATTAAATCGTAAATACTTTTTCCGTTTTCTTCCCTCGTTCTTTCATCCCTCGGTTGTGATGCAAACAAAAATGTGTGACTTTGGTTTATAAGTTTTAGGTACCAACATGAGATCGCTGGAAAATGAGCATAGCAGGATAATAACGGCCTTAAACTTGACGAAGACAAAACTTTATCGTCTAAATGTTTATGTTTTTATCAAGAGGAAAGAACAAAGTAATTTTTAATCATTTCTCAATTTTTTTCTGTCTTTATTAGGCCATTCTAACTTCTGACTGAAAAACGTCGTTTCTCTTCATCAGCGAATTTCCTACTAAATAACATGGCGGATTTTTTTGTGCATTTTTTTAATGGCAGTCATTAATTTTGAAAATCTTGCAAAAATAAAAAATAATTGTCGGATTTTAATGAAACTTTCAGAAACTATTCATAAATGATGGACATTATTATAAATATGTTTATTTTTTTAAGTCATGGTAAATTTTTTTATATATATATTTATTACCACCACCATAAGTAATTTTATGAAAACTCTTGAAATTCAAATGTGTACATTTTTAGTGATTAATTAGTTAAAAGCACAAGGCTTTTGGGAAAGCAAATCATTTTGTTTTTAGTTAACCTCCTTCTACCTTAAAATCAGCTCTGAATTGTAACATAAAAAACTCAATAAAACAAAGCTTTTAGTTGCTGTTACTTGTTTTTATGAATATGGATAATATTGTCTGAAAGCAAAAAAAAATTTTCGATGAAAAATTAATTTTTACAACAATTATTTGTTATTTCTTAAATTATTTTATTCTTTTTACGTTAAAGTTGTTAAATATTCTAAAATTAATGAAAATGATTTACAGTTTAGTCAATGGTGTTAATAAGTAGATAAATATCATTACAGATTATAAAATAAAGCTGGTTACAATCAGCAATCTGCAAATAGATAAAAATCTAATATAACATGCTTTTTTGTGTCCAAAAATAGCTTAATTCAAATATACGGAAGACCGGAAGCATCATGAAACCAATAGTCTGTCACGTGGTTTGCGTTTGTTGTAACAAACATTTTGACAATAAAATTCTGCTTTCGTCAAGTTTATGGCCGTTTTTATCATACTATGCCTACTTAAAAATAACGAGGTAAATAAGTTGTTCACATAAAGCTAAACTGTCACTTGTGACCTTCCGTACTATAACTTTTCTTCCCGTAATATGTCAGGGCGTGATGAAATACGCACATATCACCTGTCAATCAACACCGCTCTTAAGACCGGCTTTCTCTCATTTTTTTCAGCGCAGAAAGTAAGTAATGTTTGTTTCAAAATATATTAAATAAACTTTATAATTTCTAATTTACTTAAAATAATTTTTTTTTTAAATCATAATTAATTTTTTAAAAGAATTTTAAACGGAGACTTTCACTTTTGTAAACAAAAGTTTTAAAAAATGGCAGACGTTCGATTTTCTCTCAATTTTGCTGATAAAAAATATACAAGATTTTTAACGAAAATTTTGAACGTGCTAGAAATTATTAAAAAATGTAAAAAATAATCAAAAAATACTTTGATCTTTCTTCTTGATAATAACATAAACATTTAGCTGATAAAGAATTAAGTTTGAGGCCGTTATTATCCTGCTATGCTCATTTTCCAGCGATCTCTTGTTGGTATCTATTTAAAAGGCGTTGTTTTAATTCGTGCTATTTGCTTTTCAATTTTTCCTGCATTATCGAAATTTGTTTCATTTTCTTCTAGCTTTTCTGCAGTGAATTTAAGGTAAAACCTTATCCAATTTTAACAAATTTGTCAAATTTATCAAACTTTGTCTTGATTCTATATCCTATTAATAAACATATTGTCGTTATGAGAAAAATAAAAAAGACATACCTATAATCAGAAAATATATAAATATTTTACTTTGAACCAATAATGAATAAAAATTATTCTAATTACATTTTTTCTATTATATATATATATATATATATATATATATATATATATATTTATATAATATATATTTATTATTTTAATACATTTGTTATATACATATGTTATATAGATATCATTCCTTTGCATAATGAATATAAACAGCGTCAAATGAAAATTGAACTCGCTTTCCTTTTCTTTTTTCTTTTTTCCTTAATGAGTTCAACCCAAGCAAGACGATAATACCACTAAAATGCCATAGGCTGCTGAGAGTGAAATAGAATTAAAACGGTTTAGAAGGAACCGGAAACCTAATCCTAAACAAGGATAAACCTCTACTTCTGTTCCAAAGATCAAGGAGGAGTGAGAACCGGATGATAGGCGAATCTATCTACTCCTATTTATTTGCGCTATCTCGCGTCTTATACTAGGAGTAAAATCAAGTGAAATATGAGTTTTGAAAACTTGGAAATTAAAAAAGAAAATGGCTTATACTGTTTTCCATTTCTACACAGAGATTATTTTCTTCTGTATAAAGAAAATAGATTGTATTTGCTGATTATGCAAAATAGCATATCACGTTTATTTTTCGCCTCTATTTTCATTGTTATCTATTTATTTTCGCTTGCCGGAAAGTTTTTAATTTTCTACGAGTTGAATTCTAAACCGCTTTAAGGTCACCAATTAAAAAAAATAAAGTTGTTTAGAGTTTTCAATTAAATTAGTCGTTCATATATTTTGCAAAATTTTATTTAAATAATGAAATATTAATATGGTATCTAAAAATGTAAATTTAATATTGTTTAAAACGAAAATTGCATGTTAAAGTTGTCCATATATATTAATGCGTAGCACATCTTATAAATATAGGTTATACAAAATACTCTGTGCAGCTATATATATATATATATATATATATATATATATATATATATATATATATATATTGTATTTATGAAAAATGTTCTTTAAGGCAAATGTTACTGAAGACAAAAGACATTTTGCATCGATTAATTTTTCTGACTTTCCAAAATTACGAATAATCCTTCTCAGACAATAAAGAAATTCCGTATGACTAAAAGAAACTAAAAATCTTGGACTATGTTTTTGTTCCGAAATATACTTCGGACAACTTCTGACGGAATTTCCTCTTTGTCTGCTAAGGAGTATTGGTAATTTGGAAAATTCGATCAGCAAAATTAATCGATATAAAATGTCTCCTGTCTTTAATAGTGTATATATATATATATATATATATATATATATATTTAAATATATATATATATATATATATATATGGTTTAAAGTACTCAATATCAGGGATAGACAGGATGTAAATATAAATGTGGACATTGAGTGTTTGAGAGAGCACCCAGCGGCGGTAGTCTGTTTCATAATTACACGCAATCTTCAGTCTTGAAGATTGCATTTAAGCATGAAACAGACTGCCGCCGCTGAATGTTAACCCTCAATATCCACACACACACACATATATATATATATATATATATATATATATAGAGAGAGAGAGAGAGAGAGAGAGAGGACACTGATGTCAATACATATATATTTACAGGGTGCTATGGATAAATTGTCATCTAAATACGCAAAAATGAAAATAATACTAACTTCTCATTTTAACAAATTTATTTATCAGAATTATACAAAAATATTTTGAAATACTAAAGAGAAAATTTACTCAATAATATCGCCATTGGCTTCAGCCACTGCCCCCAAACGACTTCGGAATTACCTGCACTACTTCTGGGTGGTCTCCTTGTCTAATTTGGTAAATGTTGCCATGACCTTTTGCCTTCAGTTCATCTTTGGTGTTACAAGAAGTTTTGTTGGTCTCTCTCTCAACTGCATCCCACACATAATAATCAAGTGGGTTGCTGTTTGTGGAGTTAGATGGCCAGATGTAATGGGTAATGCGGTTGCAGAAATTGTCTGGCAGCCATGACTGGGTTCTCCTACTTGTGTGGCATGGTGCAGAATCATGTTGCCAGACATAGTGTCTTCCAGAAGCCACCCTCTTGATTCAGAGCAGCACTAACTCCTCATGACACTTATGCCTCTATGTTGAGGCATACATCAAGTGTCTCACCAACAAATTAGGGTATTCTTTTCTTATCATAACGATCACAGTGAGTTTTCCGAGCTGCCGTACCTTCGTAATCACCATTAGAATCATCCAACTCTTTCCGAATCATCTGCACTGTCCCCAGATTGATACCCAAACACTCTGAAATGTTCGTATTGGAGCTAGCGACGCGAATGCCAAACAGTACAGCATGCCGTTTCCAAATTTCTGACGGAGTGAATTGCGTTGTTACTCTTTATCTTACAGATGGTACCTAACTGACCCTGCTATACTGTGCAATCGACAAAATCAAAAATAATCAACGCGCATGCGCGAAATTAAAAATATAAAATGGCGATAATTTACCCATCGCACCCAGTATATTGTATTCCAAGAAATTGTCATTTTCAAACGCACAGTAAATGATAATCCGAAGGTGCAATATATGATTGCAATATCAGTAAATGTGTGAAAAATTTTGACATAAGCCGCATCTATTTTTGCCCGTTCAGCAAAGAAGTATACAGTCGAGTGTTATTCTAATAGAATATTCCACCCATTCTGTTATTTCCAGACTCTTACCGAGACTTACCGATTCCTATACGATCACCGAAGTTAAGCACCGTCGCACCTGTTCAGTACCAAGATGGGTGGCCGCTTGGAAATAGCAGGTGCTGCAAGCTTAAATTTGCGGTTGGTGTAGTGGATAAAGGCTCGGACTTATTAATCGGAGAGCTGAGTTCCAATTTAAGTTGGGCACGTCGTTATATTCACTCACACTGAAATACCCTTCGGTAAAGTAAGAATCCAGCTAAGACTAAACTACTATTATCTCGAAAAAAAATTCTTACAATATAAAAAATATTTCTGGCAGAAAAGGTCTGATAAGCCGTAGAAAACAAATCAATCACTTGTAGAAAAAAATGCTTAAGACAAGCCAATTAATCAATCTTTACATCGAGGAGGACAAAGGAAAGCAGCGAATAACTTACCTAACAAGCTTGTGTAAATGGTTGGCAGAACAGGGATTAGAAGAGATAGCAAAAAGACAATCTATGCTAACAGCTACAAAAGACAAGAAATCGTGGAAAGCCGCGATTACGCACGTCCTGAAGAGATAAGGCACATAGAAGAAAAATATATCTTTATTTTAACTAATTTCAACTGATTTTTAGTATATGAGTGATAATCAAAAGACAAACCTTACAGCTACAGCAAGTTGTGGAGAGCCATGATCGCCCACATCCTAAAAGTACACACAGAAGAAGAATTATTTATGGGTGAATGTGAGCTTAAATGTAGTTTGTAAAGACACCGTGTGTTACTGTATGTATTCAAGCGTCGGTGTGTATTTGTGTCTCCAGGTTTTCATGTTATTATGTGTATCTGTATATGTGTGAAATAGGGACAGAAAAAAAGGAAGTATATGTTTTATCTCTTTTATTTAAAATATGCTAGCAAATAATATCTTATCTCCAACAGAATCATTGCGAAAACGTCCCTCTGTTTACTGTACATTTAACAATCGCCATTGAACAAGCAGCGCATTTCTCGACATTCTACACGGACCATCAGTCCAGTGGCGAGTCCAAAACATCTCCAAAACTCGTTCCCATCATAAACATTTTTTCAACTCCCTTCAACTTTTCTCGCTCTATGAAAAAACGATATTGAAAATGTTTATCGTCGACATTTTCACATCAAAAGTTACCGACGCTTAATTTCTCCGTAAATGTTTGTTTAGTTTTGTTTTTGACAAACTACATGCATAGAAGTCTTTAAAATCGGTGATACCGTCTAATGTTCAGAAAATGAAAACAGCTCGTAAAATAGTGCCTGTGTACATTTAACTATAAACATCTTCCGTTTTCTGTTATATTGCCGAAGTCGACACTCGTATCAGTTTAAAGGGCTGAGAGAGGAATCTTTCAATTCACTCTGACCCGAAATGTTTCCCACTGGAATACGAGAATTTGTTTAAGTTTCTTAGCAAGGCAAGAAGCCCTGAAATCAAAGTCGTATTTTTTATAAACTAAACAAATGGGGTTTAAATATGGTAAGATGCCCAAACGGTTGTACATTTGTACTTTTTTTTCCCCTTAAAAGCCGGATGGCATTAAAAACAATATTTTTAACTTATAGTTACTACTGTACACGCAATTCACCAATCTGCCACTGGGTGGCATGCCACTAGCGTTTACCGCTGGTGGCCCACTATCAGGCCGCCGGCGTCTTCGCCTCGGCAAATGCTACCACAGGCGGACCGCTAGATGCCCACCGGTGGTCCGCCGTTGGCGCGCCAGTAGCTGCCACCAGAGACCTGCTGACGTTGCCATCGGCGGCCCACCAGCAGGCCTCTAGCGGCTTGCGTATAGGGCAATATTTCGAGTAGTATTTCATTGTGATTTCATTTGCTTTCTATCACGATTCTTAGGTCTTCATACTACGGACGTCACTAGCGATTCTCTTAGTGTTGAGATGAGTAAAATGCTAGCAGAAAAATTAACAATTATTAACAATGCTTCAGCTAAGAAATGGTACAAAGAAAAAAGTAATAATATTACTCGTGTATAAATATAGCATTGTCTCATATGATCGAAGATAAAACAATAATATCTATATGGTTAGAAATTCACGACTGGGAGTCTCCGTAGCCTGATCGTTAAAGCGGGCTGTTATATTATATTATATATCTTGCCAGAATAAAAAGGGATTTATGTTCGATCTCATGGAAGACCTAATTCTCGAAGGTCGAGATTGTTTAGTGACTGCAGTAGTAACGAGAATTTTGATACTTTCGCCATTGCCATCTAGGAGTTAATATTTAATGCTAACTCAAGCCCTATAAGGGGGAGGGGCGCTGTCCTTCTCGGCTATACCTTCCCTTTGAGAAGAGGCTGGAATCATTATTTGTTTTTTGAAGCGTTCCCAAAAGAGGAAGTGCCAAGGAGGATTGAGCAATTTTTTGCCCCTAGTCCTCGTATGCGGAGGGGGTGAACGGTAATTATGGCACAGGTAATAATAGCACAGGTAATCATAGCACAAGTAAAAAAAAAAATCGGAAAAATGGTAAATGAAAAACAGACTCTTTAAACGGCTTAAAAATAAACACCAGTTGATATATAATTTAAAACTTATTTAAAAGTTAAATGCCTAATCAGAGAACAATTGTTGTCTGTTTATTTACTTCTGGTTCAGTTGTCCGGGAACCGCCAAGTTCACACCATTAATCTCAGTGGATCTACTACAACCCCACCATGTAAGTCATATTAAGTAATAAAGGAAAAGGGAAGATTTGCTTCCAAGGATACAGGTATCTTCTTCTTTTATGTATCATGTCCTTTTGGAACGTAGGTTCTCCACCACCTCCTGTCCTTTATAGCTCTCAATTTTTTATTTCTCCTAGATCCTGTTATGCCATCCACTTGCTTAATCCCGTTAAGTATGTCACGCATTGCTTTCCCTTGTACCTCTTTCCCTCTATCCGCCCTGTGAGTATCAGTTTTTCAAGCCTTCCTTTCTCATTACGTGTTCCAGAAATTTCAGCAGCTGCTTCTTGATGTTAAGTATCAGTTTCCTCTTTGTTTGCATCCTCTCCAAAACCTCATCCTTACTCACATGTCCTGTCCATGATATTCTTAGCATCCTCCTGTAGAACCACACTTCTGTTACCCCGACTCTCTTCTTCATCCTTGAGGAGATTGTCCAACATTCGCTGCCGTAAAGAAGGGCAAATATCACGTAGCAGTTCAGTACTCTTTTTTTGGTTACCAACGAAACACTCCTGTCTCTTAATACTCTGCCTAGTCTTTAGAATGTGTCTTTTGCCATCCCAATACGTCTACGGATCTCAGCATCGCACTTACCGTCCTCTGTCGGAACACTTCCCAGATATTTAAAATTCCGCACCTGCTTGATTTTAGTGTCCCCGGCCTGTAAATTATATTTTGGGCTCACCTTTTCGCTGATGACCGTGCATTCTGTCTTGTATTTTATGCTTAGTCCCTTCTTCTTCCTCTTCTTCGCTACTTTCGGTAGGAGGTTTTGTTGTTTCCTTTCCGTGTCTGCCATCAGTACTGCGTTATCTGCGTATCTTATGTTGTTAAGATTGTGATCGCCAATGATAAATCCTGATAGGAACAAAAAAAAAAGATTATATAATCAACTACTATCAGATTGGGATTTTTTTTACTATTTTTCCACTTGTGTCATTTTTACCGGTGCCCCTTATTACCAGTGCCATATTACCTAAATTCCATGCGGAGCCTACCATCCCATTTTAAACTCGACCCTGTGTCACATTCCGCCCCAGGGGGCATCCGGTTAAATACCTACACACAGATAGAAATATACGAGTGGGTAACTCCACAAAACAGAATTATTTTGAAAATATTTTAGAATATTCTTCAGATTAATTACCTTTGACACAATGTACTTATGCCAACTGATTTCTTTTTCACAACTGGACACATTTCAAGAACTCTTTTGAGTGGATCCCTCCCGAACGTTAGTTCTTTTTTTTTCTTTTCCACATTGTCGGAAAACGTTTCTCTTTTATGAGATGGAAAAAAAAATTCACATAGAATGAGGTTATGTGCAAATGGCACGCAAATACAATGTTGTGTTGGGCCCAAATCAGTCAGAGACATTCAAGGCCGTATGGGCGAGGGCGTTGTCGTGATGAAATATCCAATCATCACTGCTCCACAGTTCGAGCCTTTTTCTCTCTACACTCTCACGCGATCTTCTCAAAGCATCCAAATAAAATTGCTTATTCACCCTCAGTCTGAAAAGAACAAATTCTTTGTGCACGACCCCATTCGCATCAAAGTAACAAATCAACATTGTCTTCACGCTGCTTGTTTCATCTGTAAGATGTAACTGTAGCCCTAGAGGCATCTCTGGTCACAGCTGTGGAAGGAAACTGTGGCTGAATTTGAACATTTTTCCTTCAAATAATTCTTATACATTTTTTATGCGTCTGTGAGAAAATGAAGCACGAATCTTGCGGAAATTTCTTTTATCATTTCTTTCAAATTTTCTGTTAACACACGATTTTCAAGATAAACTAATTAGTTAATGAATTGTCCGATAACGATCTTCATCGATTACATGACGAACTCTTTCAAGGTTTAGTTATTTCGACTTGTAAAAGCGCAACTATGTCGTATTTGGCTTTAGTGATATATCACCATATTTTGGATGTGAATGTCATTCGTACAATTGTTTTTTTTTTCAAATGTAATATTATCGTTGTAGATACTAGACTATAATATGTAAAATTATTGTTTATTCCCCTACTGTCTTCCTCAATCGTGTGTGGCTTTGGGGTTTTCTCCGAACATAGATCTAATCTTCCCGCGGTCATGTAAGTTACTTTCTATTTTTTCCTACACTTATATGTCTTCTAGTCATCCTGCTGTCCCACATGTTTACATCTTAAGAGCAGACAAGTGGACCTTCTGCTCACATGCCAGGAGCAACTACTAAAACGCTGTGAGGTGCAGATTTGCCCCTGGTGTCTATGAGAACACCTAGATCGCCTATTTGATGCATCTAACTTTGATGTTCTGGTGTGACTCCGAGTATAAAGCTTACTTTGGTATCTCTTTGGATGAGCCCAGTATATAATGGGATCACCAGAAGTCAACTTCTCTTAGATCAAAGTTTTTTGTTTGACA